GTCGTGAGAATGAGCATTTGGCCATATTCCCGTGCAAATTGCGTATTCTACCTCAGCACGTCTTCAACGCACGTAATCCGATCGTTGTTGGTGTCTCGATTGAAGCGGGTCAACTGAAGAAGGGGACACCCATTTGTGTACCATCAAAAGACGTGGGTCTCATTCGGAATTACTTATTATTTGTTTTGTTATTTACAGCTAATTGACTGGTGCCATTTTACAGATTTTAATGATCATTTATGGATGCATTCATTCATAGTTTCAGTGTATCTTCATTGGAACAGTGGCAAGTATTGAACGTAATCATGAACAAGTTGACCTGGCAAAGGCTGGTGATGAGGTGTGTGTGAAGATCGAAAATACAACTGGTGAGGCACCGAAACTCTACGGAAGGCATTTTAATCATGAGGATATACTCGTCAGTAGGGTTGGTCTTCATTGCATCTTCACATTGATCATTTATGGTGCATTTTGAGTCGTGTCTCAAAAAGGAAAACGATTGTGTTTATTGATATCCTCTCTCCGTAGTTTGAAATATTATAAACGCGTTTCAATAAATCAGTAAAATTGCGAGTCGAAGGGAATAAGTGACATGTGTCGTATGAAATGGATAGGCGCTTATGATTCGGACGTTTGCAGATAAGTCGTGAGACGATCGACGTGTGCAAAGCACATTTCCGTGATGATTTATCGAAAACTGATTGGCAGTTGATTGTGCAACTCAAAAAGCTTCTTGATATCCTTTGAATATTTCTGGTGAATACGTANCTGATTGGCAGTTGATTGTGCAACTCAAAAAGCTTCTTGATATCCTTTGAATATTTCTGGTGAATACGTAATATTATTTTCGATTATGAATGCATATTATATTTTCAATCGTATCGAAAGTAGTATGGTTATGATGAGTTGTTTGCTTACTTATTGTTAGTGGGCGATTCAACCACTGATACGACCAGTAGTGTGAAAAACCGTACATTTCGGAACGAAAATACTGCAAAAGCATCGCGAAAGATTATAAATTCTGACAAAATGAGTATAAACTGTAGCTGTGGCTGCTCTTAGAAAGTCCATTTTTTGAAACTCTCGGAATTGGTGAGTTAATTTTATTCCCGCTGATTGTGATCTATAGGTATGCAAAGTATTGTGTCGTTTACGCATGCGATTCAGTCAAAACAGTTGAGAAATGCCAACCAAGCGAGTTGTTCGTGAGTTTATGAAGGCGTTCAAGTGAAACATGATTGCTTTCGAATGTTAGAGAATTTTAATGGATCGTCTTGATGAAATGATTGAACAGTTTTTGAATTTATGCATTTCATTTCCTCTTATTGTTAGTTGTCGTTTCGCTTTCTTTCATTGTTCGGTATCGGTCTTTGTTTTAGAAATTAATTTCAGTCTGAAATCGCATGAGAGCGTTTCCTCTTCATGTTTTATTTAG